CCTCCTCCTCCTCCTCCTCATCCTCCTCCTCCTCCTCCTCCTCCTCCTCCTCCTCCTCCTCCTCCTCCTCCTCCTCCTCTTCCTCCTGCTCCTTGACGACGACGACGACGACGACGACGACGACGACGACGACGCCCCATCTAGATGCAGCCGCCGTGTTTCCAAAAGCAGCGCTGACGTGGGGAACGAAGGGGCTCGTCTGGCCACCGCGGGCCTCGGCCTCACACGGGCTCCCCGACCTGCGTCCGCGGAGAACGGCCCGAGGCCCAGAGCCTCTCCCTGCACACAGAGTGGCCCGCCTTCCGGCGCCCTGACTGCGTGTCACGACGTGCCCAGCGCTCGCGACGGCAGGGCCTCAGGTTGGGCACAGCCGCCCCCCCCCCCCCCAGGCAGTCCTGCCTGGCCTCAACGGGCTCCCCGAGGAGCCCCAGCTGGCCTCAACAGGCCCCCCGGGCAGCCCAGGGCGACCTCAACACCCTAACCCTGGGGCGCTCCGCGCCTCAGGGTCGCGGTTGGGACTCCTCGGGGAGCCCCTTGCTGGGCTGCCCTGGGGGGGGGGGGGGGGGCAGTCTGTGGGCAAACCGAAAACTTGCCACCACGGTGTGTCCACCGCTCGCGAAAAGAGCAATGCCGAAGAGGGGCGGCGGAGGTCCGCGCGGCTCTCGATAAGAAGCTTCAGCACGCCCGCGTCACCGGCAAAGGCCGCCGCGTGGAGCGGGCTGACCCCCTGTTGCCGGCGACGGCGGCGGCGGCGGCGGCGGCACCGGCGACGACGACGACGACGACGACGACGACGACGGTTTCCTCCTCCTTCTCCGCCTCCTCCTCCTCCTCCTCCTCCTCCTCCTCCTCCTGCTCCTGCTCCTCCTTCTTCACGACGATGACGACGATGACGACGACGACGGCGACGGCGAGGACGACGACGACGACGACGACGATGACGACGACGACGACGCCGACGACGACGACGACGACGACGACGACGACGGCGGCGACGACGACGACGACGACAATGATGAAGGCTTCCTCCTCTTTCTACTCCTCCTCCTCCTCCTCCTTCTCCTCCTCCTCCTCCTCCTCCTCCTCTTCCTCCTCCTCCTCCTTCTTGACGACGACGACGACGACGACGACGACGACGACGACGACGACGACGACGACGGCTATATATACTTCCACATCTGGGCTCTGTCTGTCAGGACTAGCAGGATGGCGAAACGTGTGCAGACAATTTGCTGGCACATGCCATTTGCTGGTGAACCCGTGGCTAGCGGAGGGGCTAAAACTCGCGAGGCGCGGCGTGCACACACGGGGCTCGAGCGGCGAGCAAAGCGGGTGTGCCAGGCCTGGTGGGAAATCAAATGGCGAGAAATGCGGCAGCCTCGGCATCGGTTTCGTATTCGTCTTCCGTCTGTGGCGGAAGTGCTGCAACTATGGTCGGGGCGGACGGGAGCTCGTGATCGCTGCTTGCTATATCACTGGAGAGGGCATGCCGAGCAGCGGGCTCAGAAAAGAGAGGAGGAGAGCTAGACCTTACGAATCGAACGGGCCTGCTCAGAGCACCTACTTCGACAGGGCGTCGACCGAGCATGACAACTCCTCCTCCAGCCAGCCTGGCGGCGCCATCCCCGTGTGGACGGTCGCTTTGCCGTCGTTCCTGACTGCCTCCAGGATGGTCGAGCGCATCGGGCAGCCGCGCATGGCGACGATGAGCTTGGTCTCGTCGGGCTTGTAGCACTTCTCCAGGCGCAGGATGGGCACCTCGTCCTCCAAGTCCTCGCGGCTGATGCAGATCGCCTCGTCCGCGGTGCCGTTCACCTTGTCCAGCCACGCCTTGAGTGCTGCCTTCGACTTGCCGCCGATGTCGCACGTGCTGAGTGCCTCGAGAAAGGCCACGAGCAGGCTGGCGGTCGGCGCCCCCAGCGCCTTCAGTGCCTCCTTGGAGCCCGTCTCCTGCTTGCGGAGCTTGTCCACCTCGCCGCGAAAGTTGTCGACCTCGTCGCCGATGGCCACTATCACGGGGTGGGTCGTCGGGAACACCATCGTGTCGATGGTCGCCGCCGAGTTCATGCGTGTCCGATGCGTGTTCTGTAATACCAGCTTCGCGATGACTAGAAGAAGCTCCGCTAGGTTCTTGTCTTTCGACGTCCAGTTCTTGTCCGAGTGTTGGCCGCGGCGGCGGCGGCCGCCTCGGCGACGACGCCGAGGCTCCTCTGGTGCTCCCCCGTCCGCGGCCGCCGCCTCCGCTGAGCCCCGACCCTCTGCTGGTGCCTCCCGCCGCGCTTCCTTCGCGCGCGGCCCGCTCGGCTCGTTTGGCTTGCCACCACTGCCAGACCCCGCTGAGGATCTCGGGAGGCGCCAAGCTGCCCGCTGGGTGCCTGCCATCGTCGCCGTCAGGGGCTGCAGCAGGTAGCACAGGCAATGCAGGTGTAGTAGTCGCTCGAGCTGGCGTTGGACCCGCTGGCGATGTTACCGCCGATGCCGCAGGCCGGGGGTGTCGATC